GCACCGAGAAAGACAACGCCCCCATAGCATGCCATTCGGCTGAAATGTCCGGGGCTACTTCATGAACGGCCAACCGAAACTTTCGCTTCTTACCAAACACGTTCGGCCTGATCGTTTTACCGCGGGGCGCGAGCATCTGTCGAAAACAAACACACCGTTGCTTTGTATGTTATCGGCAAACAATCCTCCCTGAAATTATGTTCCAGGATCAACGCCAACAACCTCCGGCATACCAAATACACGTGCCCATGTGCGTAGACACGGTGGCCAGAATACCTCCGCTGACTTCCCTGTCCCCGCATGTCCAACAACTGAAACGATGTGCCCCGACAGATAGCGTTTGTCCAGAAACGCGGCGCATCATCAAGTGGACATTTGATTTCCACCAAATCAATGCCAACAACATAATTGAACCGAGCGGATTTAGGCACACCAGCAGGGTGGCGAGCGCAGGGACGTTCGCGCGCTTCGCACTCATCGCGCCTGAAGTTATGCAATGTCCATCGCGCTACTTCAGGCTTGGCGTTGCCACGCCTCTGGAGTCGAACAGAATCTCGGTTGCTAAGACGGCCATCGTTGTCGTGAGCACGCTTGAGATCGGTCAGCCAGCCTGCCCCAGGTAACCAATCAGGCTGTGCAGGCACCTCATCGTCGCTATCAGGTTCGACAGTAGGATCACCAACAAGGATCTCGCCAGGCCCATATTCCTCAGGAGCTGCCGCCAAAGGACGACTGGGACTGATCTGATCCACTGAGAGCGCCTGCTTGATGTGCTTAACCTGCTGATAAGGCAACGTGCCGATAAAGTCCTCATCCAGCTCCGACGATGACGCATGCGCCCCATTGGTGGTCTGCCACAAAATCAACCGCCACTGTCTCTCGCGGGCCTCGGCCGCTCCAACTGGGCACTGCGAGACAGCTCGCCGCCTAGATCCACGCGGCAGGCCCCCAAGCACAGCCCCACGCCTGCCGGGCACGGGGCCAGCCAGATTCACGCGAGTAGAAACTGGAGAAATGATCTGCCCGACCTGGCTGAGACAGGTGCTCCGAGGGCAGATACTCGCCAGCAAAGCGCCGACGAACATCGCATTCGCAACGGCCTTCGGTCGAAGACGGTTCGGGCAGTCCACCAATTGCCCCATGAGCGGCGGTCCGGAGAATTTGCCCAAGCATCATGAATGATTTCGGTAGCCCCGCAAGAGTGGAGCGCCTCCGCCATCCGCCCAGTGGGAAATTCACGCGCAGAAGGCGGGCCGACATCGGCAGTAAGGGTGCAAAGTGTTTCGCGGGGCTCGCGACATACTCGGACGCGCGCCCTGCGATCGCCATGCACATCTTCACGCCGCAAGTCCTTCAAAGGTCGGTATCCTCTTCGATCGCCTCGGAACCGTTTCCGTCCATCATGCTCTCGCGCATCTCGCGTTTCGCCGCGCACCTCGCCAAGCGCTGGATCATGTCGCGGGCCGCCGGCTCGCGTGACTCGCTGGCCCTCACGCGCCACTCGCAGCGATAGAAATGCTGCTCGTAGGTCGCCTTAAAGGTCTGGCCCGCGCACATCCCGCAGCACGCCAGCTCGTCGGCCGTCGGCTGTCTTGTCCAACGCATCTGGCACTCGTCGCGCGCCCAAAGGGCCTTGGCGTTGTCCCGATGGCGCGCGCGATGCCCCCGGCGATTGCATATGCCCTGCTCGATCTTCTCGACGCCTGCCCCGTCTGGGAGCAGCCTCCTGCCGACAACGACCCGCTCCTGGAAGGTCTCGGGTCTCGGCGGCGGGTCGCAGGCGGGGCAGCCTCGTCGCCCAGACCCGCGGCGCCCCCGAGAAGGCTCCGGCGCGCGATCGGGCCGACGCGCGCATCCGCACGGCGCTTCGTCATCGCGCGGTCCATGACGGCCAGGAGCTCGAGGCAAAGATAACACCATTTCCACGTCCACTTCTCTGGGGTCATCAGGAAGCTGACTGGACCTCGCGGCGGTCGTGCGGTGCTCCGACTGCGGCTCCTCCTGGGCGAGGACGCGCTTTGCGCGTCCTGGCATCGCGATGGGCGTCAGGAGAAGCGGCAGTTGGCTGGAAAAAATGTCTTGAGCCAAGGGCGCCTGCGGATTCACATAAAATGCGCCCCCCCCCCCCAGGCCCCCAGACTTGGCAATGTCCCCGGGCATTCCGAGACACTGCCTTGATTGTCATATTTCCCTGCCAACCATCGACGGGAAAATCTAAGATGTTGATCACGATGTGTCTGCCTGAACCTACTTCGCACACCATCGACTGACTGCCGTCTCTCAATCAGGCCACCGCGAGGGCACCGCAGTTCTCTGCCACTCCGACGGACAAAGTCAAACTGGAAAGAAACATGGTAGATGCGCCGACGCCCACGGCGTCCATCTCAAGAGCGGGTATCTGGATGGGCTTCAGGCTGCAAGTATCTCCCAGAGACTTCACCACCCTCTCAAGCTCATCATCGCCGCAGGCTCCATGCTGAGTTCCAGCGCCCACCAAGCCGAAACCCACATGAACCTGGCGTCCGACGACGGTCTCCCCGACGTGGCCCGCGGTAGCGAAGACGGCGAGGGGGGCAGAATTGACCCCAGGCCGAGTCGCATGTTCCCGCTGGCAGGCGGACCGTGGAAAAACGCGTGTTTCGAGAGGAACAACTTGCAAGGAACCGATGCCTCCTTGACGCTTCCGCCCTCACTCGTCTGGCTCGCTCGCACAGTCTCGAGCCCAGTGCCCGATCTTCCCGCGGCGGGCACACTTCGAGCGCCTCATCTGATTGCCCTTTGTCCAGCGCTTCGGCAGGGCACGCCCAGACCGTTTGTTCCCCCCGACGCTTCCCCATGCGCGAGCCTTTGGCCTTATCTTTCGGTGGAGACTGCCTAAAGAAGCCTCGCCCGAGCTTCCGCCGGTGTAGAGACTGTCGGACTTGGCTGTAATTGGCGTAGATGGCAATAGCTACATCTTCGTCAAGGATCACATCCTCCGGCAGAGCTCCGGCCACGTAAAGCACCTCTTCGTCATCCACGAACCTGAGAGCCTCGTTCAAGATGTCGTCGACTTCGCGCACCTCTGGCAGAATAAACGATGACTGTGGCATAAAGATCCAAGGAACATCCTCGTGATCAGACTCCTGTTCAGACTGCCCTCCTTCGCAACATCGGTATCCGATTAAGTGCGAAGAAGAGCTCATTCCATGAATGCGTTCCAGTTGACGGAACTCGTCACTGACCACATCGAGATCATAGGATCCTTCAGTCCAGTTCCCGACAGTGCCCCAGGTGGCGTGATTCGGATGGACTCTCTGGGAAGCATAAACCCATTCTAATCGGATGGCAAAATAACACGCTTCTCAAGTTCCCTGAAAAAAGGACGAGCTCGCGAGCGATGTAATTAACAATGGACTGATCTCGCTCGCGCTTCACATCATCAGAATAGACCGGCTTATCAAATGCATTCGGCATCTTGCGGTCTTGGTTTTCGGCGAAAGCCTTCTTGGCATGCTTGACCATTACCTGCCCGCTGCCCGCGGCGGACAACTCTTCCTCGGTGAGCTCCTTAATAAAAATAATGATGTTGGGGTCGTCTTTAGCGCAGCGGTAGATGAGGTATCCGCGCTGCATTTTCAGACTCCTGGCGGTCGTGGACCACATTTGCAGCTCCTCCATCTACGGATGCAGACAGATGTCAGGATCAGTTCCATCCCAGGTGGGAGGTAAGTCGCTTGGTATCTTTGGAGCCTCCAATTGGTCAGGAAATTGCCCCTTCTGAGTGAACGGCGTCGCCGCACCCCGCAGAAGTGTTTTCAGCCGAGCTGGTCCAGCTGCGAGCCACGACCTTGCGGGTTCCAACCTGATGAGGCTGAGTGCATGTCCGGCTGGTCATCCGTCCACTGTTGATCGAGCAAACGGACCCAATCATCATCTGACCAGCCCACTTCGGCATCGCCGTCCCAGTGACCAATCCTCGCCTTCCGCCTCCTGCCCATGGCCATGGCCTTCTGGCTGCCCAAAATACGTCAGGTGCTGTCTGAACGTCGGCTTGACCATCTCTGGCGGCGCTCGGCAAGAGAGGGTGGGAAGCGAGAAAAACGAGAGGCAAATGAATGAGTCACCCGAAAGTCGAGTGACGAGGAGAGTCTGCCAAACTCTCCTCGTGGATCGAAACCACGGGCGCCGCTACCACTGTTGAATGTACGGCAATAGTTGTATGGAACACAGACAAACACGAAGTACAAATAGGGGGACCAGTGTTGAAAGAGAGCACGTTCTGCACTCGCGGCCAGCGCGACAAGTACCTCAAGGGCCCTGCGAGCAAGAGCAGCCGCAGGGCAACGGAAGTGGGAACAAAGTACAGGAGGGGAGGGGCTGAAATGGGCATGACAACCACAAGGAGGGAGGAAGGAGAAGGGAAAAGGAGGAGGAGGAGGAGGGAGAGGGAAGGAGCAGAAGAAGGAGGAGGAGGAGAGAGGAGGGAGGAGCAGCTGGAGGAGCAGGATGACGAGGGAGGCGGAACGACGCCGCAGGCGCTGCGCCACGATAGTTCGACAGAAAAAGAGAGGAGGGAGGAGCAGGGCTCGAGCTAATCAGTCATTTTCGGTTTCGTGTTGTTGTCGATGCTCATCGTTCTGCCTTCGTTCCGCCGTTTGCTGCAAAACTGAATCAAGACGAAAACGGTCCGCGAAATCGCCACAAAGGCACCGTTAGCTCGAGACCTGTGGAGGAGCACGGCAGCAGGACGAGGACGGAGGAGAAGCGGCAGGAGGAAGAGGGAGGCAAGGAGGGAGAGAGCAGGGAGGAGCGCGGGCGTCGAGGAGCAGAAGCGTAAAGAGGCCCAGGGACACACAGATGAACAAGCACACATCCCAGAAGTCCTTAGATTTGTTCCACATATTTCGGGAGGTTCGTCTTCCCCCCTACCACTCCTGATTTCATGGGAGACGACCATTATCTGTGTCTGTCTGTCTTTACCCTCCTCAGGGCAAGAGGGAGGCAAGGGAGGGAGGAGCCCTTCAGGTACTCGGTGGTGTAGTCCAGGTAGACCTAAGAATAACAAGCAACTCCTCAAGCAGAAACTTTCCGCGGTCTGGGCGGATTGCTTGGAATGGCGCCGTGCCCCCCTCCCTGGCGCGCGGAGCGCGCCAGGGGCGGCGCCGCAGGCGCAGCCAGGGGGTCCCAACGCAGATCCAAGAAATCCGTGCAGCCCACAGAAAGTTGAACCGTTTGAGACAGGACCTGTCACAAGATGCTTTCTGACCAGAACTTCGAGGAGCATCCAGCCGTGGCGACGAGGGCCCCCCCGGAGGCCAAGGCCAAAACGAGCGAAGGGTAGCGGTATCGGTATCCACTCAGATTCCGACGTTACCAAAATACATCGTGGAAAAACACGACCAAACCCCAGACCCCGTCTTTCTGCAGCATTTTTCGAGCTGGATCGATCTGTGATGGTCCCTGGGCTCGAGACCAGGGGCGAAAATGCCTGGTGTAAAAACTACAACGCCCCAGATCTGAGGGTCTTCTACTCACCTGAGGACCTGCTCGAACAGCTTGGCGTCGACCGCGCTCTCCTCGTACTTGCCCTCCGCCCGCACCTGAGAGGCAACGATAAGGGAGAAATTGGCATAGGGGGTGAGGAACATCGGCTTGGAGTCGGCGATGCATCGCCAATCAGATCGGCGATAGGCCCCCGACAGCGAATCCCCACGTTCCAGGGCGGGATGGAGCGATCGGGCCCATATCGGCGAAGAATGGGCGGTTGGGGGTCGATGCATCACTCCCCCCTTATGCCTTTCCTATCTCCCCCGATCGCTGCCCCTGAGAACCGCCGCGCGCCCGCGCAGCGCCAGCGCCAGGCCCAGGTGCGCACCCACCGCGAGGCCGGCCACCTCGGGGGACGCCCGCCGGCTACCTCGACCCGCCCTGGCCAGGCCCATTCTGGACCAGAATGGGTGTCGTGGAGGAGGAGGAGGAGGAGGAGGAGGAGGAGGAGGCGGCGGAGGCGGCGGAGGCGGCGGCGGAGGCGGCGGCGGAGGAGGCGGCGGAGGAGGCGGCGGCGGCGGCGTCGGGCTGCTGAAATAAAGAACGCAAAAATACGGAACGGAGCCCCTTGATGGCACCAGAAGAGCCTGGGTGCACGAGGCGGGCTAAGGGAGCAACCACGGAACGACCTTTTATGGAACAGCGAGCCCCTTCCGAACCCAAAGCAGCCGGTCACTGTTTCGGTGCCTTGGCGGTACATAAGCCTCCTAGATGTGGTCGGAGTAGATGGGGTCGGAGGGTCGCGCCGCATGGCAAATGCATCGGCGACGTCGGCGATGCATCGGCGACGTCGGCGTGGGTAAACGCGGGCCCCACATTGAGCCGCATCACCGATGCATCGACGATACGGCGCGATCCCCCGACCCCATCTACTTGGACCACATCTAGGAGGCCTTATACTGCAGGTCCTCCTGGCCTCCTTCAGATCCAGGCCTTGCTGAAACCATCGCAACGGCCAGCTTTTCCTCGCCTTCGGCCCCCGGGGGCCGTCTCCTGGCCCCTGGGGCCGTCGAAAAACTGCTCCGGACGAGCAGCCGGTCCTGGGGCATGGGTCGGGACATCGGGACCCCGTCCACGTCGGTCGGAAAGAGGTAAAAACATGAAGTAAGAAGGCGGACAAAATAAGCTGGGCTCGGGCCCGCCCAGAGAGCAACAAAACACGGCAAAGAAGCACATCGCTTCTTGGAGCAGGAAGGCGCTCAAATAGATGGGAATCTGGGAACCCGCAAATGCCTACCTTCAATGACCGACGGCTATTCAAAAATCCAAACATCGGACATCCAGGTACGCCCTCGTAGCTTCGTAGGCGCCGCTCCTGACCCCAGGGTCGGCCTGGCCAGTATCGGCGAGGTGGTCAGTTGTAACTGAAGGGGCCCTCGGACACACAAATAAATAGACACTAATAACAAGATTCCCCATATTTTCCCATATTTGGGGGGTTTTCGTCTTCCCCCCCATTTCCTATGTTTCCCCATATTTTCCTGGGGATCGACGATTAATTGTGTCTGTGTGTTTCTTTCCCTCCTGAGTTACGCCCCCTGGGCCACCACGCCCGGCGACACGCCGAAGCCCGCGCCGCCGCTGCCGCCGGCCTGGGCGCCTGCGCTGGGGCGACGGCGAGCTTCGAGGAGGATCGACGATCGGAGGCTTCTGGAAGCCTGTCAGAGGAGAAAGGCCAAGGAGCGGGAAGAGGCAGAACCATCCGCCGAGCCCCGCTCTGCAGGGTGTGAAAAGGCGTGAGGGCCAGTTGGCTGTCCCCCTCCCCCGTTCCCCCTTTCCCCCTCCCCTGGGGTAAACGGAACGGAACGGAACGCCTGTGCGGGCATGCGTCCGGGCCCCTGAAGGGCGAGGCGGGTGAGGCCATGGCCTCGCATGAGAAGATGCGCGCGTCGGGGGTCTACTCAGGACAATGCGTACTTCAGGAGCTGATTTCCCCACAGTCCCTCCCCTGGGGTCCAAAATGCCACTCTGGGGGGGGAGGCCGAGCTCGTCAACGCACCCCAGGGGCCTCCGAGGCTCCAAAAAGCTCCAGGACAGCCCAACAGGGCCCAGACACAGCGCCAAGACAGTCGAAGAGAGCGTCATGACGGCCAAGGGCAGCCCACGACGATCCAAGATGGCTTCAAGATGGCCAACGAGGCCCCCAAGACAGCCCAAAAGCGCCTCCAGAGATCCCCGAAAGGGCCCCAAGAGGGAAAATCATCCAATGCTTGCAGGAAAACTACCTGTTCAGCACATTCACATTTTTCGTATTGACAGCGAACACGACGGCCCAAGTTGCCCCCAAGATCGTCACAAGACGGCCCATGATGCTTCCAAGAATGCCCTAAGACAGCCCAAGAGGGCACAAAGACAGCCCCAGGGACACCCCAAGACGACCCCAGACAACTCCTGGAGGGCCCCAAGAGGGATCCAAGAAAGCCCAAGGGGAATGCGAACTGACATTTCGAGCCTATCCCACCAAAATGGCCCCTCGAGCCCCCAGAAACCCCCGAAGGCCCTCCAAGAGGCCCCATTTGGGCTCCGAGACGCCCCCAAGAAGCCCCCCAATGGGCACCACGAGGCCCCAGACAGCCTCACGCACACCCCCAAGAGATATCCAAGAGGCCCCAGAGACATCCCAAGAGAAGCTCACATTCGTGCAAGAGGCTCCTGACCCAAGATGCAACTTCCACGATCGTCTCGAACACTCACTCCTCGAGGGGGTCGGCGGCATGCCGCAAGCCCATTGAATATAAATGTTCGGAAGTCCGCGTGCATGCATCGTCAGAAACCACGACCCCCTACCTGGGACCAACAACTCGTGCTGTCCCTACATACACCGTCGGCCGTTCAACGCCCGCCTGGGCCGCATGGGTCCTTAATTGGCTCCTTTTAGGGGCCGTGCTTGGGTTATTTCTGCCCTGCGGGTGTCGATAAGAAACAAGAGCCCAAAGAGCCAACGTCCATATCACTGATCCGTCGATACTGATGACGGGACGACGACCAAACGGCAAATCGATGATCGATCAGCCACGCGGCACGTCTAAGCCTAACAGGCGATGGGTTGGGAACAACAATGGAGCATAGGCAAAAAACAACGAAACACACCTGCGGGAGATATTGTATGATTTTGTCCAGATGCCCATCCCGTGGTGGAGCCGTCTTCGCCCAGCGAGAACTGGGTGGGCGGGTGGTGAACTTCTTGGTCAACGGCCTCGTGAAGCGGGTCAAAAGGCGTCCAAACTCTCGCCGGGCCACGACTAGGCAGCGGAAGCGGAAAAGCGGAGAAAAAACGGGCGGTGGACGCGAAGCGTCCTGGATAGAGACGCTCGGACGTCCGCACGGAGCTACAAAAGTATAGGCTGATGCAGGCCCAGGCCACCCCTGCCG